GCCTCCTCCGCCCACCGGCGCCCCCCCCCCCCCCTCTCCTCCTCGATCCGAGGCCTCCCTCCCGCTCCCCTCGCCCCCCTCCTCCTCCCTCCTACCCCAGCCCGCGCGCCCAGCCCCTCAGCTTCCCCGTGTCCACGTCCAGGTGCACCCAGCCCTCCTCGGGCCCCTCCTCCCCCACGTCCTCCCTCCCGCCCTCCAGGCCTGCCAAGATGGGGAAGGGGACATCGACCAGGCAGCCGCGGAAATCCAGGCCGGGGGGGAGGGAGGGAATGCAGGCGTGGGCCCAGGGTAGAGGCAGGATCCAGGAGAGGAGGAGCTAGGGTGGGAGGGAAGGAGGGAAGGAGGGAAAGAGGGGAGGGAGCGATGAGGGGCGGGGACCGGGAAGGCCACATGCCCTGGGGGCTCGTCTCCATCGGCGGTGGCGCCTACCTCGCAGAGCAGGGGGAGCAGCTGGGGATGGCCCCGCGTGGTCAAAATCACCTTCCTCTCGAAGAGGAGGGCGAGCCAGAGCCGAGTGAGGGTCAGGGGGCCCAAGCCCAGGACGAGGAGCCCGTCCACGACGCCGTCCTCCGGGAGAGGGCTGCCGAGGCGCCAACTGTACCGCAAGAGCAAGGGGCAGGCAGGCTGGGCGGCCTCGGTGCAGAGGGCGGCGGAGTCTCTGCGTCCGGAGGGGCCCGTGGGGGGGGGTCGTGGCAAGGGGACCTCGAGGGCCAGGCCCGGCAGAGGCGCGGGCAGTCCTTGGACGAGCAGCGTCTCCACGGCGACGGCGCTGGGGTATTTGATCAAGTAGTTTAGCACGGTCGTTGCAGGCGCGAAAGCGGGGAAGCTGCTCTCTAAAAGAAGGACTGAGGACCCCTCCTCTGTTCCTGTCTTGGCGAGGAAGCCGTAATGCCGCCGACCATCCCCATCTGTGACCACAATCACGTGCATCGGAGGGCGTCGCAACGGAAGAGCATTGGGTAGGAAGGAAAGAAACGCATCCAAAGTAGCTTGACGTTGCGTAGCGCGCCCGGAAGGAGGAAGAAAGGCGCATACTTCATAAAACGAGGAGGAGGCAGCCGAGGCGGGGACTAAGAGGGCGCCCCAATTAAAAAGGTTCGTCGCTGCCGCCCATTCAGCACGTTGTACGGTTTCCACGTCAATGAGATGGCTGCACAGCATTTCTCCCGGTTTCTCTGCTATTATGATACCCAAAATGAGACGAGTCGCGGCGTGAGATATGCAGCGGGAAGGGAGAGGACATGGGCCGATCGGTTATTCCCCCGCTGCCGGCGCCATCGACACCGTGATGTGACTCACAACCTCACGGAGGCGGCCTGCGCACCACCTCCAGCCTTGGTTCGGCGCATGCATTCCATTGTGCTTCCTGACGAGATTTCTGGGGGACTTTCTCGGGCGCTTTTCATGAAGAGGCCCTCATTAGTTCATTTGTCTTATTTTTCGTCCCGTCAGCCAGCTTCGACACAGGCACCTCCTCCGCTCCTTTCACGCTCCCAATATGCTGCCTCCTAGCGCATCCCTCCATTCGGCCTTTATCCTGCCACCTTCGTCATCGACCTTCACACTCCCTTCTGCCTCCTTCTCGCCCCTTTCACCCGTCCCGGCCGCAAGCTCTCTCTCTTTCAACGCCCTCTACTTACGACGTAAGCACCAGCTCGCGCCCCTACAGCCCCATCGCGCACGGGCTCGCCCCCTCGCCTTTTGGCAGCGACAGACAGAGGAGAGGGAAGTGGTACGTGTTTGCTAAGAGAGATAGTATGGGATGGGGTTGATCTCCCTGTTCACGGCCTGCATCACCTGAAATCTTGTGTATGCTCTCCCCAGGCCGAAGAGGCGGAGGAAATGAGCGACGATGAGAAAGAAGCAATACGATTGCAAAAGATACTGGACAAGCGCCTGGTGCTGGCTGCGCAAGCTCTTCAGGAAGACTGGCCCGTGTACCTGTTCCTGATCGGCGTCCAAGCCATCCCTGTGCTGGCGGGCGGGTGAGTGGAGGGGGCGGGGGGGAGGGACATCGAGATGGCTGCGGGCATCGGGAAAGAGATCCTTGAAGAGGAGGGACGATGGCAGTACCTGGGATATTGCACGACAGTGGTGCAATCTTCGCCGGGCAGCGCACGAACCCCCGGCCCATGCCATCCCCCCCCCCCCAGGCTCGTCGGAGGCAACTTCCTGTTCTTCTGGCTGACGGCCTGCACCTGCGTGTATTTGGGCGCCAAAAGGAGCAGCGCCGTGGCTCGGGCGGGGGAGATTTTCCAGGTCGGGGTAGCGGGTGGAGGAAGGGAACGAGGGGAGAGGGCCGGAGGAAGAGAGGGAGGGAGGAAGGCTCAGCAAGTGCATCACCGAGGGCTGCCTGTGTCTGTTCTTTGCCCTTCCCTCACTCGCTGCCGTAGCTCTAAGCCTAATCCGAAGACTGGCATTTTTCCTATTCCATCTTCGCTCATGTCCTACCCCCCCTCCGACCTCTGCCCCTCCTTGCCTTCTTCCCCCCTCTCCCTCCTCTGACTACTCCCCCCCCTCCCGCCCAGGCGGTCACCACCCGCAACGCCTTCGCCGCCCCCATCGCGGCCAGCTTCAGCCTCTTCGGGACCTACTACCTCCTCAAGAACCAATTCGACATCGCCACTGTCTACCAGGTGCCGGGACCCGCGTCCGTGCTCCCCCTCGCTTCCCCCTCCCTCCTACCCCGTCGCTCCCTTCCCCTCCACCCCATCCCCCCTCCTTCCCTCCCTACCGCCCTCGGTACAGCTCATGACCACCTTCTTCGGAGGCTACTGCCTGCGCGACGTACTCATCTCCACCCTGCTGGCTCTGGGTCTCGGCGGCTCGATCCAGTCCTTCTATGCCCCCCCCCCCAAACCGATCCCCGCCCGCCGCGGCCCCTTCTCCTCGCCTGCCCCTCCCCCTCCTTCTCCTCCCGCCTCCTCTTCTTCCTTCCCGCCCTTGCGAGACCCCGACGAGGGCGAGCTCGACGGCTTGAAGCTGGCCGCAACGCTGCTCTCGGGGGGCGTCTGCGCCACCTACCTGTGGGGGCCGGCGGCGGCAGTGGCGGCGGCCGGGGCAAGCGGCGGAGGTGAGTATGGGGTGGGGGGGAGGCCTTAGGTGCGGAAAAAGGGAGGATTTGGGGCCCAAGGGAACTATTGCCACGACACTTGCCACTTCTCACGCGCCCTCGCTGCTCCCGCCCTCCCGCCCTCCCGCCCTCCCACTATCCTCAGCCTCCGGCGCCGTATTTCTCGGGGCCATCAGCGCCCTCCTCGCTGCCAACTTTATCACCAGCGGCATTGCCCTTCAGGCGCAGGTGCGTCCTTCCCACTTCCTCTTCTAGCCCCGCTTCTCCCTCTCACCAGCTCTTGTCTTCCACAGGCCTCCATCCCGATCAAGTCCTTGAAGCCGGCGCTCATCTTCCTGACGGGGCTCTTCCTTTACGACATCTACTTTGTTTTCTTTTCCCCGGGAGGCGTCATGGAGAGCGTCGCCACCAGCCTGGAGGGGCCTGTCAAGCTGCTATCCCCGCGGGCGGCGGTGAGAAGGGAGGGTCGCCGCCCGACGAAAGAGGGCATTACGTCTCCATCTCCTCCTCGCTTCCAGTCACGCTTCTCGCGTTTGACCGCGTTCTTCTCCCCCTGTCCCTATCCGCAATCGGCTCATCCCTCCCTCCCGTCCTCCACACGCATTCTGCCCTCTCCCCTGGGCCCTCCAGGCTGCCACAGCCCCCGGCCAGTACCCCTTCTCCATCCTGGGACTCGGCGACATCGTGGTGCCGGGCCTCTTCGTCGGTCTTCTCAAGCGGATCGATGAAGGTGGGGTGACGATGAGGTAGTGGTCAGAATCGACAGGGAGCAAAGGCTTTTGTGCACGATCTCCTGGGTGGAACAAGTTCTGCCTTACGAACCAGCGTCTCGGCCCCTTCTGCTTTCCGTCGGACCGACAACTTTCTCGTAGAAGCGTTCTGATTTCACGTATTGTTAAAAAAATACACGCACGCTCTTTTTTCATAATGTTTTACAGGTCAGGACGGATTAGGCACCAAGAACACCTTCTTTGCGGCCGGCATGGGAGGGTACGCTCTCGGACTTCTCCTCACCTTTTCTGCGAACATTCTCATGCATCGGGGCCAGCCAGCTTTACTATACATTGTGCCATCCCTTATTGCAGCAGCTTTAGGTACAGCTGCTGTGACAGGCCGATGGGAAGAAGTGTGGACGTTCAACAGCGAAGGGGGGGAGGTAGAAGGGTCAGGGGAAGCGTAGAAAATGAATGACACCGGTCAGAAGAAGAGACAATGACAATAAAATGTAATGCGGCTCTTCTTCCTTCTGCACAGCGTGTTTTTGTTTACGTTTCCTTAATTTTTGTACTTCTTCGCTCTTCTCCACGGTCTTCCTATTTTGCTGCGAGAAAGGCGACACTTGCACATTCGCCGAAATGGAGGATACGAACAGGGTGAAAGGAAAATGGTGACAGACGGCCAGTCAGTCCCCTTTGATGAAAAGTGCAATTCTCAGTATCGTCTTAATGCTCATTTTAAGACTCGGTGAAGTTGTAATATTTCACTCAACAGCTGTGGCATGCACGCTTACGTGGTTAGGGCGTCTCGGGTCAGGAACAACACTACGATACCCGGCTCGAGACCCTCGCCCAAGGCCCTCACTAGCAACATTCAGACTGTCACGACACAAAGGAATGCCACCACGCCGGCAGTACCTAGTGAAGCTGTGCGAGGGATGTCCGGTCGTTTGAAGCATGGTTGTCCCAAAGGAATCAAAAAGTCGCATGGCCAAGCCAGCTGAGAGGAACAACTTGCAGATACATGTCAGGCTGGGGCTTCCAGAGTCCCTCTGCATGGACAAAATGTCTTATCCCTTAGACAGCCTGGAAATTTGTTTCGCACAAAATTGCGGGAGACATGCTTACTTATGTCTGTATCTCCTCCGCACACTGCCAAGACAGATTGTAGTATGCGCGCAAACACAGGGTGCTGCATTTTTTCCCTCTTGCATCACATTTTAGGCGTGTTACTTCTCGCCCTCCTCTTCATAACTGCAACAATGGCAACATCACCAACACTCCGGAGAGCTAAAAGTTGTACCTCTTGGTCGAGAAGCTTCTTCCCTCCTGTGAAGGCACCAGCGATGGGTTTTATGGCCGCAAATGGAGGCATGGCTCGGAGGTACTGGACGACGAAAGGGCTGGGCGTAGGCCGGAGACTACTCATGTGGTCAGACGCAAGTACAAGTGGTTTTAGTGGCGCAGGCAGCACTGCCAACAACGAGAAGAGAAACGCTGGAAGCATTCAGGGTCCTGCGGAAGCAGGGGATGAAGTCTTTCGCACCGGCTTGCCTCCCCTCCACTGGCCTTCACCAGATGCTGAGACCGTCTCCGGGAATCGAGGTGCGGATCAGTCATCAGCCCCTGCACCCACCGTCAATTTAGGCAAAAACAATAAAAGAAAGGGCGCTGCATCGCTTCCACCTATAAAAGGCGCCTTGCCGAACAAAAGCAAAAGCACGGGCCCGCCCGCCAGCAACGTCAATACCGGAACCGGAGAGGGTGCGTATGCCGGCGACGTCAGCAGAGGCAGCAGCAGCAGCAGAGAAGAAATAAGTATAAATGCATATCCGCTGCACGCTCGGGCCGCGGTGGCCGTGACCATTGCCACGAAACCCTCCGCCTTTGAGAAGGTAGGGAGGGAGGGGAAGGGGAAGACAGGACCGGTGGGTATCTGGTCGCTGGCTTTTGCCTTTTGTTTGGTTTGGACGCATGTGACAGCCGTCGGATATCCGAGATTCTGGGGTCATGCCCCTCAAAGAATGTGTCGGCGGCAGACGAGGTCGCGATTTCCTGTCCACCCCGGCCTCTCCCACCTTATCGCTACCCTCTGACCCATCCATCTTCCGCTTTCCCCACACATGCCACTCCATATTGGGCTCAGACCACCCGTTACTGCGTAGTGAAGCGCAGCAAAGAGCCCGGAAAAGGGAAGTGGAGCCTGCCGGGGGGCAGCGTGGAGCTCGGGGAGGAGACCCTTCTGGCCGCCGCGCGCGAGGCCAGAGAGGAGACCAGTCTTTCCAAGGAGGACCTCCGCTTTTATCCGCACGCGGTATGCACCACCGATGCCATCTACAGGCGGGAGGACGGGGCCCGGGGGGTCCTCTTCCATTACGTGATCACGCACCAGGCAGCTTGGATCACCACCGGCGCCATGGACCGGGCGCGCGCAGGGGACGATGCGGCGGAGCTGACGTTCAAGACATTGGAGGAGCTCAAGGCTATGTCCTTGGAAGGACTGCTGGTGGGGAATGTCTGCGACGTGGTGATGCGGGTGGAGCGCCTCGTGGCGAAAGGTGTCATCAACATCGACTTCGACCTGGTCAGACTGGAGGCTTGACCCCAGGGTCACGAGCCTAGCGACACCCTTGT